CTCCTTCCCCCCTAATTGACCCCCCTCCAATATCTTTTATTTATTTTTATTTTTTAAAAATAAACTTCTTTATTGATTTCAGAGAGAAAGGGAGAAGGAGAGAGAGAAACATCAATGATGAGAGAGAATCAATGATTGGCTGCTTCCAGCACATTCCCCACTGGGGATGGAGCCCGCAACCCAGGCATGTGCCCTTGGCTAGAATCGAACCTGGGGCCCATCAGTCCTCGGGCTAATGCTCTATCCACTGAGCCAAACCAGTTAGGGCCGTGTCTTTTATTTTTTGATCCAACCTTGTTTCTCCAAAAATATTTTAGAGATGATGGCTTACACTTTAAAAAAAAATTATTTTTTATTTCAGAGAGGAAGGGAGATGAAGAGAGAGAGAGAAACATTACTGGTAGAGTGAAACACAGATCTGCAGCCTCCCGCACACGCCCCAGGGGGGATCCAGCTCGCTTGTGCCCCTGATTAGGAATGGAACCCACATCCTTTCAGGGCACAGGAAGATGCCCAACCAACTAAGCCATGATGGGCAGGGAGCCTTATCCTGTTTATGGTGCCCTGAATCAAGAATATCACTACTGCCCTAGCTGGTTTGGCTCAGTGGATAGAACATCAGCCTGCGGAGTGAAGGGTCCCAGGTTTGATTCCGGTCAAAGGCACAGACCCAGGTTGCAGGCTCGTCTCCAGTGTGGGGATTGCAGGAGGCAGCCAATCAATGGTTCTCTCTCATCATTGATGTTTCTATCTTTCGCCCTCTCCCTTCCTCTCTGAAATCAATAAAAAATATACTAAAAAAAGAATATCAGTACTTTTTTGGGGGTTGATGTCACTACTTGATGAATGTAGATTAGATCATTGGTGCCAGCAGCACCTGCCATGACCTCCAAGGACTATCTCCATGCCCTTTTCCCATCCTTCTTAAAAAAATAAAATAAAATAAATTAATATATATATTTTAAAAAATCAACTATATATTGTGTGTGTATACACACACACACACACACACACAATATATAGTTGATTTTTTTAAAAGAGAGAAAGGGAGAGGAATAGAGAGCTAGAAACATTGATCAGCTGCCTCCTGCATACCCTTCGCAACCAAGATACATGCCCTTGATCAGAATCTAACCTGGGACCTTTCAGTCTGCAGACCAATGCTCTCTCCACTGAGCCAAACGGGTTTCAGCCCTTTTTCCACCCTTGACTAAAGAGGTCACTATTTACAGAGAGGCACGTGTGTAAGAACGTGGAGAAGTTACCCTGGGAATTGGGGATGCGGGAGAGAAGGCAGCTACTGTCCAATTCCTGGTCTCTGTGCTCTCCCGCTCCTGGCGATGTGGGAAGGAACATGCCTGCAATCCTACCCAAAAGTGGGTGTGGGGAACGGGAGGGAAACAGTCAGGGAGGAGGGCGGAACCTGGACCTGGAGTTTAATATGAGATCCAAGGAAACCCCAGGGGAAACCACTGACTCCCGCTCTGGGGACCTCGGTGGAAGGCAGAGGGGGATGTAGATGTAGCTCATCTACCCACAGGCACAGGGGGACCTGCCACCAGGAGCTCCTGACTGGGGGCCACAGGGGGACTAACGGGCAGAGCAGCAGCTCCTCGCTGGTCTCCGTGAGGAAGCACACAGTCCGCGGAGGAATCGGGGCCCGGGGTGGGAGAGGGATGGGCTGGCTGCCCTCCCAGGCCCTCAGTAATCCCACAAGGAACGGTGACCCTGCACTTGCTCATTGATGCTCCACACACGTCCGCACCCAGTGTGATAGTAAGTCCCCGGGCTGCCTGCCAGGTGTAGTGACGGCGCCACACAAGCTCCTGGCACTCAACCAAGGACCCAAATATTTGTTGGAAGAAGAAAACAACGAATCAAGTGTTTAAATCGAGCGCATATGACCTGCCCCACTGTAAAGCTCAGCGATTAATAAAATCACAACATTCCAGGCATGGCCACTTGAGCAGAGCGGGCAAAAGGAACACACACACACACACACACACACACACACACACACACACACACACACACACACACATACACACACACACTCATACACACACACACACTCACACACACACACACACATACACTCACACACACACTCATACACACACACTCACACACACACACTCACACACACACTCATACACACACACACACACACACACACACCAGCCCTGAATCAGCGGGATCCGCACCCCCCGTTGGGCGCAGCACCCCCGCCGGGGCACAGCTGGGGATGGAGGAGCCTCCTGACAGGGCGCCCCGCAGCTGCCGCGGCTCTGCCCGCGGCCAGTCTGCCCCCGCGGCCGATCTGCCCCCGCGGCCGGTCTGCCCCCGCGGCCGGTCTGCCCCTGAGGACGGTCTGCCCGCGGCCGGTCTGCCCCCGGCCGGTCTGCCTGAGGACGGTCTGCCCCCGCGGCCGGTCTGCCCCCGTGGCCGGTCTGCCCCCGTGGCCGGTCTGCCCCCGCGGCCGGTCTGCCTGAGGACGGTCACCGCGGCCGGTCTGCCCGCGGCCGGTCTGCCCCCGCGGCCGGTCTGCCCGCGGCCGGTCTGCCCGCGGCCGGTCACCGCGGCGGGATGCCGGGCGCTCCCCTCGCAGGGCGGCCTCGGACAAAGTTCCCCCCGGGCTGCCCGGCCCTCCCGGCGGGGACCCGGGGCGGAGCCCGCCGGCCCTACCTTGGTGAGCTGGGCGATCTTCTTGCACATCTTCACGTGCAGCTCGGGGTCGCCGTCCGCGCCGGAGCCGGCGCCCGGGGCAGGGCCGGGGCCGGGGCCGGTGCTGCTGACCGCAGAAGCCATCGCTGGGCGCCGGCGCCCGGCCCCGCTCGTGTGCTCGCGGCCCGCGGGGGGCACGTTCGCGCGGGCGTGGGAGCGGGGAGCGCGTGAGCGCGGGGCGCGGGCTCCGGGGGAGGCACTGCGGTCCGGCCGCACCGCCGCGGCCCCCTCCCGCTGCCCGCCCTGCGGGCGCCGCTCCCTGCGGGCGCCGCTCCCTGCGGGCGCCGCTCCCTGCGGGCGCCGCTCCCTGCGGGCGCCGCTCCCTGCGGGCGCCACCGAGGCCCGCACGTGCGGCTCGAGGTGCGGCCGCGCCCCCTGCGGGCTTGGTGTTTGCGGGCGATGGGAGAGCGGAGCCCGGGAGGGAGACGCCGGCCTCGGAGAGGTGCGCGCTGGCGGCGCGGCGCTCCCGGACCCGGTGGCGGCGTCCCTGGCGGAGCGGGGACCGGAGCCGGCCCCAGCCCCAGCCCCGGGCCGCCGGGCGCACCGTTAGGGAGGAGCCCCTGGCGACGTGCTGCTGGGGGAGCGGGGTGACGAGGACCCGGCACCTTCCCAGCTCACCCAGCCAGCGGCTTTGGAGCCTCGGACCCTGGTCGGAGGGCTCAGGTGGGGGGGCGGGGTGCCCGGAGAGGGGCAGGAGGCGAGAGCGAATATCGGAGGAGAGGAGGCTGCGGGGCGTCTTGGGGAGGAGCCCGGGCGCTGCGGGAGGATTGCGGGGGATCACCAAACAAAGGGAAGGAGGGGGCAGAGGGGCGCGGAGGAGCTGGGGATTGAACCCGGGACGCAGGTGCGGGAGGCGGGCGGGGCGCAGGGGGAGGCGGGCGGGGCGCAGGGAGAGTGAACGGAAAGGTGGAAGATGGTGGAAAGGAGGGGGTGAAGAGGATGGGGAACAGTGGAACAGATGGAGTGCGGATAGCATAAATCAAGCCCAGCGAGAGGGGGTGACTCGCCCTGATCCCAGATCCTGGATTACCAATTTGTTCAGTGAGTGGAGAGGGGGGAGGGGGCCAAATGTTTTTGTGGCTCTGCTTTCTCTGGTTTCACACCATGGGCTTTTAGGGAAGCTACAACACCCCATGCAGATTCTCAATAGCGTCATCATCATAATAAGCAATTAGCATGGTTAATATTTTACAAGCTGCCTTAGACCAAGAATTTTAATAATCTCCACAAAGCAGGCACGCTTCAGTCTCAGAAACCACAACCCCATGCATGGCTTTGCATTTCTCTGAAACATCTATATAATTTTACTTCTGAAAGCTACAGTTTCCTGTTAAACATCTCTTTTTAAAATATATATATATATATATATATATATATATATATATATATATATTTTATGATTTTTTATAGAGAGGGAGATGGATAGTTAGAAAAATTGATGAGCGAGAAACATCAATCAGCGGCCTCCTGCACACCCCCTATTGGGGATGTGCCCACAAAGTACATGCCCTTGACCAGAATCGAACCTGGGACCTTCCAGTCCGCAGGCCGATGCTCTATCCACTGAGCCAAACCGGTCCCAGCCACATCAGACATTTTGATTTAGTGCATCTGGGTAAGGTATTTTAAACAATCGCTTCAGTGATGCTGTTGTGTATGGTACCAGACCCCACCTTGAGAATTGCTTTAATAGTGCAATCAAGCTTCGTCATGTCCCTCTATGAATTTTTGCTTTATAATCTACGCTATGACACGGCAATTTGACTCCTATGTATTATACCCAAGAGGAAGGAGTACGCATACCCACCAAAAACACAGGTATAAGAATACTTATTGCAATTTTATGTATAATAGCCCAAAATTAGAAAGAACCCGAATGCTATCAACAGGTGAATAAATGAATGACGGTATATTCACAGAATGGAATAGTCAACAGCAATGAAAATATGGACCACTGATATATGCAAACACCTGGATGAATCCCGTTACACTGCTGAAAAGCTAAGCATAAAATATCTCATTCATACGAAGTCGAGAACAAGCACAACTAATTGCTATTTAAGAGTAGCTAGTTCAGACTGGGAAAGGGTGCAAGTGAAAAATAAACTTTTTGTTCTTTGACTTCAGTGTTTACATACATCGTGATATGAGAGTATCCTTATGTGAAAACCATCACGTACACTTAGGATTAGCACACTTTATGTACTTCACTGTAGGTTTATTATTCCTTATTTTTAAATAAGGGCAGATGGACAAATTGGTTTCCTTAAAGGATTTTTGTTGTTAATCCTCACCCGAGGATATTTTTCCATCGATTTTTTAGAGAGAGTAGAAGGGAGAGGGAGAGAAGAAACATTGATGTGAGAAAGATTGGTTGCCTCCTGCACCCACCCCAACCAAGGGCCGGGGAACCTGTCACCAAGGTACATGTCCTTGATCGAAATCAAACCCGGGACTCTTCAGTCTGCGGGCTGACACTCTATCCACTGAGCCAACCATCTAGGGCTCCTTAATGGATTTGATGACAAAGAAAAAAAATGTATCACCACACAATCATATGCAATTAAATCAAAATTTATTCCAAGAATACATAAGCCTCTGTAATAATAAAAGGGTAATATGCTAATTAGACTAGACGTTTTCTGGACATCATTCCAGATGTCCTTCCTGATGAAGTGGGGGTCAGGGGGAAGCAAGCCCCAGTCCCAGATGCCTGCGGGCAGCCTGGGAAAAGGAAGCCCGGGTCCCATGTGCCTGCGGGCAGCCAGAAGGAAGCCAGCCTGGGTCCCGGGTGCCTGTGGGTGGCCAGAGGGAAGCCAGCCTGGGTCCTGGATGCCTGCTGGTGGCCAGAGGAGGGAAGCCCAGATGCCAGATGCCAGAGGAAATCTGGTACAGGCAGCCCGGATCCCAGCAGCAGGGGGAAGATATTCTTGCATGAATATCTGTGCACTGGGCCTCTAGTATATAATAAAAGCCTAATATGCTAAGTGTCCGGTTGTCTGATGGTCCGTTCAACCAAAGCATAACATGCTAATGATATGCTAAGAATGCTCAACTACTCACTATGATGTGCATTGACCACCAGGGACAGAGGCTCCAACCAGTAGGTTAGCTTACTGCTGGGATCTGGCTGATTAGGACTGAGCAAGACTGGCTGGACAACCTCCTGCATCCCTCCCCAGCCTTGCTCATGCACCTGTGTGGTCCCTCAGCCTGGCATGCACCCTCTGGCAATCCAGGCTGAGGGACACTCTCTCTCCCCCCGAGTGCATGAATTTCATGCACCGGGCCTCTAGTAATAATATAAACAAAGTATAGAAAAAACCTCAAACATAAAACTCACAGGAAAAGTATCTAAAGTGCTACAGGAATATATTATGGGAATATATTATGGAATATATTATGAATCTATAATATAATAGGAATATATTATGAATCTATCACTGGATTTAACTATATTTTGATGGCAAAAATAGTATGGAAGATAAAAAACTATGAAATTTCAAAATATTGTTTTTAAAGACATAGATAATTCATTATGCTTTTGAGCCCACAAAGGTAAAATCAAAATGAAAAACTTGAGATGACTGCTGTAGATTACGTATCATTTTTTATAAACATTTTGAGACTTGCCTAAGCAAGGAACAGTTTCTTTTACAAGATAAATTTTTAAGTAATATTTTCTCAAAAGAATTTCTGCAGTGCACAACTTACTGGAAAGTGAGGACCTTTTGCAATTGTGGTGTATGATGCCTGACAATGCTACATCTGTATTTTAAAGTGTCTACTAAGTCTTACTAAATCTGTAATAATTACATTTAAAAATAAAAATTTCAGATTTACTTTTGTGATAGTGACATTCATCCAAAATTGTGTATTTGGTATACTTCTAATTGATTTTAATACTAACCTAGTTTTCTATGTAATTATCTTCTTTTCCCCTAATTTCCCAATATCTGTCTCAGTCTTTTCTACATTTTCCATATACTTACTTTGTCCTAAGTTTTCTAGAGACCTACTTCCTAAAACCCCTATCCTACTTACTTGACACAGCAGTCATCCTGGGGTTTTTCCTTTATTGTAGTCCTTTGTGAGATCTTATGTTTTGAGGATCCCATGCCTTCTGACTAGATTACTCCTTTGTTTTGGTGAAGCACATCCTCCAGTAGTCTCCGAAGAAAGGGTACCTGGTAAGGTAACATTCTGAGATCATGCAAGTCTGACCTTTAGGTTAGCCCCATACTTGGATTGACTGGATATAGAATTCTAGATCAGAATTTTTAAATTAGAAGGCCTTGCTTTCATAGTCTTCCAAAAAGTCTGAATGCCATTCTGAAAATACCCTTTTCTGTAAACCTTGTTTTCCCCCTTGGGAAACTTTTAGGATCTTTAGCCCTGGGATCCTGAAATATCATGATGTGCTTTTTTATTTTTTAGTTCATTGTGATGGGCACTCAGTAGATCCTGTTAGTTTAGAAGACCTATGTCCTGTTTTTGGGAAATCTTTTTTTCTCTTTTCACCTCTTTTCTCTCATTTTGAGGTTTTTATTCATCAGATGTTGCATCCCATTCCGATCTTATTTTCCTATTTTTCATCTCTGCCTTTTTCTTCTTTCAAAAATTTCTTTAACTTACCTTCCAACACATCTACCAAATGTTTCATTTTGGCTTATTTTTCCCAATGCTTTTATTTTCCGATTCTTCATTTTTTTAATAGCATCCTGTTATTTCATAGATGCAATATATTCCCCTAAGTTTCTGAGAATATTATAGCTTCTTTGGGAGTTTTATGTTCCCTGCACTATTCCCCCCCCCCCCCCCCCCCCCCCCCAGTCATTTTGTTTTGGTTCTCATCTTTCATTGTTGAAGGTATCCTCAAATGTCTAATGATAATGATTCTTAGCTATCAGTTCATGGTGAGTTCAAGTGACTGAAAGCCGTGTCTGAATGAGCAGAATTTCACTGCAACAAATAATCAAGTGGCCAGCTGTTTTTTTTTTTTTGTTTGTTTTTTAAATTTTTTCATCTTTCTGGATTGGGTGGACAGGACTGGTATAAGCCTGGCTGCCAGATCATGTAGCTGGTGGACAAAAGGGACTGATAGCTCATAATGTTCAAAATACATTCTCTCATCCTGTTTTCAGGATAGTACTTCACTACCACTCTCCCCCAGTCCCAGTTCTTAGTCTAACTGGGCCTTTGGTTCAACTTCTCTAGAAATAAGCCTCTGATCTTTGGCTAGTCAGAGGTATAGTCACCTGGCTACAAAAGGAGGGCACAAATAAACTTTTCAAATAATCCCCTTGCTTCCAACTCTGCTCCTCAACCTCACCTCCCAGGGTACTTTGTGCTTCCACTCCTTGTGTTTTTGGGGGGCTCTGGAAGGAAGGGGTAGGTGATCCAAATTTGTGGATCTTTCCTGAAATGAAGAAGAACTACCAGAACTGAAGTATTGGAATTAAAAAGTAATACTTGGGCAGAACTATTCTGTTCTGTGGGAACAACTACATGACTACAACCCAAGCTGTATCAAAGCTATAAGCACACGTATAGGGCTGCTAGTTCAATTTAAATTTCAGAAAATTACTTTTTTTCATTGTTTATCTGAAATTAAAATTTATTTGGGTGTCTTGCATTTTTATTTGCTAAACCTGTCAGCCCAACACATTTAAAGAAATAATGTGTCATAACCAGATAAGACCAACACTAACAAAGAAGACAAAAAAGCCATATTGACAGATGAAAATTGGGATCTGAACCAAAGCATTCAAGTCACTGGGAAATTCCACATTATTTCCAGGCAGTAGCCAGGGCCAACACCATATAACCCACTTTGTGGGTAAGTACTCACAGAAATGCATAGGCTGTGCATTGATGCTTTCAGTTAATACAGAAATTTAATTCTCTGGCTTGTGGTTGGCCTCTAAGTTGTGTCATCAGAACTCTTGCCACCTTACCAAGTCGTCCTGCTTGCTCAGAGTGCAATCATAGAGCCAATCCAGGGCCTTTTTTGATGGAACATGGCCATACCCTTGGAGTGTTCCAATTGTTTGGGGACCTCCCAAAGGAGGTTGCCCCTCCCTAATTAATACATTGTAAAACACTAGTTGATATATTGGAGCATCAGGTTCCACAGCTGAAGCTATGTCTGGAAAGGTAACATTGATCAAGGGTTTAGCAGTTAACCTAAACTCAACTTCCCCCACAGAAGAAGACATTACCAGATGCTTAATTTACAAGCTGTAGGACTCTTCCATCTGGTTTCTGTTAAAATCTAATTGGACATGATGCCAGCTTGGGTTTTCTGTGTATACTAGGAAACTCAGTTTTAATCTTGCTTGGCTGATCAGGATCCCGAGTTTCCTACAATAGATCCGTGGTCAGCAAACCGAGGCTCGCGAGCCACATGCGGCTCTTTGGCCCCTTGAGTGTGGCTCTTCCACAAAATACCATGGCCTGGGTGAGCCTATTTTGAGAAGTGGCGTTAGAAGAAGTTTTAAAAATTTGGCTCTCAAAAGAAATTTCAATCGTCTTACTGCTGATATTTGGCTCTGTTGACTGAGTTTGCTAACCACTGCCCTAGATGATTACTATGTCCTACTCCAGGGAATAGGGCATCACTTTCCAAATGAACCCAGGGATTTTTATGTCATGTATTGGGGTCATCTATATCTTTCCAAATACTAGTAAATTGCCCAAACACCAGTCAACTGTTTTACAATTCAACTCTCAACTATTGATAGCATGTTTACACCTGTTTATATGCATTAACTCTGTACTATCTGCCTACCACACCATTTGAAAAATCAGGCAATCCTTTCCCATATCTGAAAAGAATGTCACAGCTCTCACAACACAGGTGCTGAGTAGCTATCAAGTGTTAGGTCATTGTGGTACCCTTTTCCTTCCATTTTCTTGGTTTACTTACATGGGAGATCGTATACAATGACCACTCATATGCAAAGTCATTAACTAAACTTTGTTTAAAATACCAGATTTCCCTTTTGATAACAGCAAGTTGACACAGGAGAAATACTTAGTAGTTTGTCACCTAGTATAACTTCAATTTTCTCTCAGTCTAATGGATATTGGACTCATATGCTGGCGGCTTGCATGAAGTCAGAAGTTACCTACTTTCTGGATCTCTCTATAGATAGATATCCCAGCCACATGAGCAAAATACTTCTGGCCTGACTTTTGTATGCCATTGTCTTGTGAACTTAGCATACACAACTTAAATCTGTGCAAAATATTGATTTTATATCCTTAGCTGATTTTCCCTTGTGGGGCTTAATTGTTGGAGTGTACCTTTCACATGAATTTATACATTTGGATGGCTGTCCTACTTTAAAATATTTAAGGGCTAGTATAAGGATTAAGCTTATTTAATATGATTAGAGAACAGAAATAGTATCTATAGCCAAAAGATTTGGGATAATTTATCTTGGCTCAATATATTTTAAAATTAATCTCTTATGTATACAGTATTTTATTTAATTTTGCACTCCCAGTATCTGGATTATAATAGCTAACATTATTAGATGAATGACTAAATTTCTAACTAGAGATATTTAAAACTAACAGGTTGCCCTAAAAGATGAGTTCTCTAACACTGGAGCAGAAAAGCAGATAATCATTTATTGAAGATGTAGGAGTATTATGCAAATATGTATAACCCATGGGGTGGGCTAGAAGGGGTAAATGGGGGAAAAAGGAGACATGTAATACTTTCAACAATAAAAATAAAAGTATTTATATATCAATAAGAAAATAACCCAAGTGACTTCTAAGGTCCATAAATTGCTCTAACAATCTATTCAAACATATTAACACTGTTTTCATCAGAGCATTTTTTTTAGGTAGATAGCTGTAATAGGAACTCCGGAGGATAACCCCCCTAAAGCTGACCTAACATTTGTCCTTCTGCAATGCATTGATTTTTTTTTTCTTAAGAAGCTGATGGGTTTAAAATACATGATGTGATCTTCTGGGCTCAAAGTATTTGGACGTCAACAAAAAGGAGGCTGCTATCTGTTCTGTGAGAGACTACCTTTAACATTAATGTCCATTGGTTGTTTAGAAATCCTGTTTCCTTAGTTGTTTGATAAGTATTTCTATAGAGAATAAATGTGCCCTTCTTTATCCTAATTATGGTGACTGCCCTGGACCAAAGGCCCATGTAGGGAAAGTATGAAAGTGATAAATTCACTCCTACCCCCACATCCATGACACACAGAAAGAAGTAAAGGATTATGGCTTATTCGGGTGCCTATCCTTTTGTACAACCTGGGATTACTTACTGTGTGAAAAAATGAGTTCAAATGTGGGTCTTGACATCTCACATTACCTTCTTTAGGTATGTTTCTTTCCTAGAGTTGCCAAGTCACCTCCTATCAGAGACACTGTATAGACATAGGCACGACATCTACTGAATTTACTTAGCACTTAGTGAATGCTGAATATGCCTTAAGCACAGCAGGATCATTTGTTGAGAATAAATGACCATACTCTGTTCAGCATGTACAAAGCTGTTGGTTTATTCAGCTACAAAGTTGGGGAAAGGGTTCCTTTAGGAGTGAATAGCAAAAATGTGTCTATGAGCAAGGTATTTTTATACATACACACACACACACGCAACACACACACACACACACACACACACAGAGAAAAAGGAACATATACATCGTATTTTAATTTTTTGATTTCCCTATCTTTCACACCTCCCCTTAAAAAAACAGGTTGTGTGACACAATGTATTCTCACATAGAGTTGGTACACCATACTGGTGTGAATTTGTATCTACCTCCTTGAGAGCAGATATGTCAAGCCGAAGGTACGAATTTGCACAATTTAACCGTTATGAAACAAATGACTATAGACAGTGGAGTCTTCATAAGCGTCACATGTCTACTGGCCACATTCCCTCTTTTGTACAACCTAGAAGGAAGACCATGGGACAAATACATCCATGCCAATGAATAGAGGATCAATCAATGCCTCAACAGAACCTGTTGAATGGGGACCCAATGTGGAACTAGATGATATGACAGGAAAAAGAATTGTCAAAATTGCGCTTGCTATGATGTTCTGTCTCGTAAAGAGGCCTCAACAGAATCCTATGCAACAGGTCAATAAGAGATTTAACGTACTTCATGTGACCTTGTATTCAGGCACCAACCATTGATCCAGATCCGGCTCTAGATCTTCGTGAGTCCACCGAGTGGCTGAGTTCTGAGGAACTTGACGTGAAGATCCTTAACACACTCCTATTCATTGATGATAGTGATCTTCCTGGGCCCACTTCAAGAGCGTTTGTTACCCGACTTCGGCTGATTTCATCATTTGCAGAGATGACACCTTATACAATAATCAGCTCTCTTATAAATGATGGTTTCTCAAGGGTGATGATGATTCAACAAGTAACTGCTGATGCTGTAAGATTCATCAAGCTTGAGAAGCTTATTCAACAACATACTGAGAAGAAGTTTCAATACTTGAAGATTCTTAAGCTTGGGGGTCATTACCTACTCACTCAGCAATCGTTCCCTCATCTCTTTAGAGCTGCTCTCTTGTTCAAAAGAAAACGCAAGGGAACATTCAAGGATTACAGAACCACAAGAGAACTCAATGCAGAGGTCTCCGAACAAGAGAAGAGGTGCTGCAAGAACCGCCGTTCAAGAAGATAAAGCTGGCACAACTTGACCATGAAGGCTTAAAGACTATTTATGGGATGTCAAATGAGGATGTTGACTCAGTTGTAAATGCAGGTGAAAAGACCAAAGAGCTAATCATGAGCAATTTGTTGCAGTTACCAAAGTCCTCGAGAGGCTTGCATCAGGAATGGAGCATCTTCCACCGAGAGACCAGACTACATCATGAAGAGACTATGAAAGTTATCCGATGACTACCAATTATCTACCTCACTTTACAGCCATTTAAGAAAAAACAAACAAAACAAACAAACAAACAAACAGGTTGTAACATTTTAAAAACCAGTTTCACAGAAAACATCTACATAGGAACAGTTTCTGATACATTCAGTTACACTAAGTGTATATGGTTTCAGTTCAATCATTTTCTACCAACAAACATTTTTCTATCAATTACAATCTCTTCCTTTTTTTCTTTAAGACAACTAAGGCTCAGCAGAAAATACCATTTTGGTTATAAACACCCTTCTCTTTCCTAAAGTTGCTACACATTTACAGAATTTGTGATTCTATTAATGCTTTAAGATTTTGATGCCACATTGTAGATAGCACTTAGTTATGGAGAATAGGAAAAAGCAAAACTAAACTAAGGGGGTATAAGATAAATCTTTAACAATCTATTTTTGAGCCCTTTAGATGCCGTCAACCAAGACCATACACAGGTTTCAGTCTTTATAGTGTGAAAAGATCGAACGGTCTCATGCATTTTATTTATGTTGACTTTTACATTTTGACTCATCTAAATACACTGCAAGACCCATTTACAAGAGTACATATACGTTCTTGTTTATATAGATCTAAAGCTAATATATGTAGGAAAACAATGATACTAAAAAACTCTAACTTCAGGTTATATTAGGCTGAGACTTTCCATAGTAAGGTTCTTTCCATTTAGAAGCGATCCTGGAAAGTTTGCAATGGATGGGAAAGTGCATTAAGTGCTGTACCAGGAAACATACAGACTGAAATACTTTAATCCACTAGCAGTTAGTATAGAAAACATAAATGCTCTCTTATAATCCTTTCTCTTTGGTCTTTTGGAATGTATTTCATTTCCTCTTGACTAAAGTCTGGGTGCCAAGATGCAGGAAATAAATTCCTTATAGAATAGGTGCCTGTTTAATGCCATAAGCAGACCTATCCATATAAAAGCTGTGAGATAAACCATATTCCCACCTTTGCAACTACCTCCCTAAAAATGAATGTCAGAGAAGGGTATGCTTAGGGAAGGTACTACTCGGAGTAGCTAACCTCCCACTTTCCACAGTGGCTGCTGTGAAGGCTGGGTAAGAAGAGTAGCCTGCCCTGTCCTTCCCATCAATCTTTAGATACCTAGAGTTAGAGTCTATTCAGTTAGGCAGAGTAAACTGGGGAGAACTGAATGTGGAGAGTAGTCAATTTATTTTTTGCAACCCTGTTCCTTTTGACGAATTCTCTATTGAAGTTCTTGTTTTTCCACAGGATCTGTCAAAGTGAGTGCTCACAATGCATGTTTTCTGTAGTTGATTGATGGGCCCCTTGGATAGATATTCAGCTTGTCAGGACAGGGCAGTTTGGCTGAGAAGGCTTTCCTTTCTCAGCTCTGGGCTGTGTAACTTGCACTGCTTTCTCAATCAGAAACAGGAGATACCAGAGCAAAGGGTGAATCTTTACAGGGATGTAGTTAGGAGTTTGTTAACTGCCTTCTGGAAGTCAGTGTAAGAGTAAGTGGTATTGATGGGTTCAGTGCGGGTTGTTTCCTTAACTGTTTTAGTTAACCAGCCACAGCAACAACCAGAAACACACGAATTAGGGATCTGTTTTAGGAATTCAGGGATGGGAGTGGCTCTACTCAGGGTTCGGCTTAACTGTTTGGTGGCAAATTGCAGCGCTCCATTTAGAGTAGCGTGATCTCTGGAAAGCCGGCTGGGACTTGTCAGCGGCTTTTGAAAAGGTGGGACGCCACAAGAAGCCAGAGGTGGCCACTCAGGAATGGGTTCGAGTTTGGGTACACAGTGGGAGCAATGGGAGAGCCTTAGACCTATCTCTCGAAGTATATGGACTGGTGTGTTTGGATCTAAGAGTTTAGCATGATACAACCAGGAATTAGGATTTAAAGGTCTCCAAGTAGTTGAATATTTTAAAAGGCACTTAACCTGCCAGGCAAGACTCTCCAGAGGTGTCAGGTTGGGCACCACAGGGTCCTCTTCTTCAGAGGAATCCCACTCTTCCCCAGAACTCTCATTTAGGTAGTTAGCGTTTTCTTCTTCCTCACTTTCTGATTCTGATAAGGGACCAGGAGAGGGGTTTCTGGGACCCATTGGAATAGAAAAGAAAGAACCAGAAAAAGGTAACAATTGAAGCCAGCAAAACACTAACACTGGCAAACAGAACAAAAGATGAAAAATCCTTTCAACAAGATTACCTTGCCTGTTTCTGAGTCCGTTACACACACAGTATGCCTCTGGCTTGCACCGCTACGCAGTTCTTTGAGATTATGTTGTATATTCTTCACTTACAAAGAAGACATCTCGGCTTTCAGGACCAGTTCAGTGTGTAAGTCAGTCACTTACCAGTGGCACAGGTCAGTCTCTCTCCTTTAAGTCCTGGCTACCCAAGAAGAGAAGGATCTTCATATAGGCAAGCTGATTTTCTTAGCTTGGTCTCAACTGGCTGTGATACTCTGAAGAGACACTTGTGTCCTCTGTTTTGTTGTTAGGGATATTATATCTACTTGGTAATGAAAAGAAGCTCAGTGGTCGGCTTCACAGTCTGCTGGTGCAGCAAATGTTGTGCAAGGGATGGTGGGATGAGTTGTCAAGGACATCTGGTGAGCACGGATCCGATGTTTTCCACAAGTGGTGCAAACGCCCTTGGAAACTGGTGACTTAGCTGTTGGACTACCTGGAAAGGTAGCCTTAACCTGTAAATGAGAAGACTAGACACGATATTAAAGCCTGAAAGCACTAGGTAACATCACTGTCTATCTGTGGATATCCAAGAACACTGATGCTGAACAAGAAATCTTCTTGACTTTCCCATCTCTACTTTATAGGTGTAGGCAGATTTTCCTATTGGGAATGGCTCCTATAATCATAAAATTGGAAAGGAGACCTGGGCCCATTTTAATCCTTTGTTGGTACATATCTGGGCCAGCTTGTTTTTACATATGCAGTTTGAGCCCAGAAAATTATTTCCACAAAGCAGATCCCTTATGTCTCGAACTCCAAGTAGAGAGCTATAAAAACTATTTTATTTATATCTTTTTTACCTTTAGCTATGCTTGGTGGGATTTAGTTTTAAGAGACGTGTGTCCTGCTTGTAGAGCTGCTAGATATTAGGACATTTGGTGGGACCCAGAGGTGGTGGTCATATGACCCCATTCTCCAGGTAGTTGAAGATGGCAGGTATAAACCTTAATACAATAGGAATTACACTGAATGTAAACAGGTTAAACTCACAATTAAAAGGCAGATAGATACTCAGACTGGATTAAAAAAACAAAACAAGATTCAATAATGTCGTTAACAAAAGACATCTTAAAGCAAACAAAAACAACAAAAAACAACATAGAAAGGTAAAAAAAGAAAGAAAAAAAAAAGAAAAAAGACAGCAATTTTAACATACAACAACAAAAGATTTTAAGCCAAAAATTATAGGGTCAGAGATGGAAGTGACCATGAATGAAACAATGGTATTCGATGTTATTTGAGGATTTGCTGTTCTTATCATATATTCACCTGAAAACAATACTCAAATTTTCTTAAGTAACCACTAATAGAACTGAAGGGAGAAATGTAAGCAAGGATACAAAAAAGCATGAAAATCAGTTAAAATATTAATGTACTTTGAGTATTACATGATTAAACAGAACAATACCAACCAACCGATATTGGAGGATGCACACACACAAATAGATCATGCATAAGGTTATAAAGTATAACTAGGGCCATTTGATTCAGAGTAAATCTCTGACCACCATGCAATAAAAGTAGGTATTAAGTGTTACTTAAAAGTACTCCCCTGGGAAGGGCGGGTTCGGGTAGAACCCGCTCTTTTTGTGGGAAAAAACCACCACAAAAGGGACATCTGTAATATTTCAATAATAAATATATATTAAGAGAAAAAAACAATCCTATGCTGAGACATAAATGAATCAGGGATTAAAATGAAAAGTATAAAGATTAAAAATATTAACACCGAATAATAAATGTTAACTCGTTTTAAAATCTCCTACAAAACCTATAAGATACTTTTATTGTCCCCATTTACACAAGGCTTAAGCTACATGGCCAAGGTCACACATCTACTGATAGTCAGAATTTGAACCCAGGGCACTCTTAACTTCTATACCAGTAATACTAACTAGAAAATGCATTACAGAAATACCTTTCACAAGGTAAATTACAAAGTAAAAAAAAATGATAAATTCGATGACATCAAAATTAATTATCTTTTGACTGAACTAAAGACATTAAGAACAAAGTTTACAAATCAACAATAAGAAGTAGCAACCTCAGTAAAGAAATAGGCAAAGGACAAAAATATCCAATTTACAGAAGGGAAAAGCCACGTTATTAGCCATATGAGTAAAGGGATACCACACTATTCCATTTGTTTGGCAAAAAATTAGAAAGCTGGAAAATATCAGTGTTAGTGAAGAGACCAAAGGAACTCCTTTGGAAACTAATAATTATAGACTGGGAGAACCTTTCTGAGAGCAATTGGCAGCACTACTTAGCCAAACTATTTGCACACCTCACAATCTAGCAATTCTACTCTTGAGTAAATAAAGCAAAAAAATTCTCTTAAGACCAACATGCATTCTGATGCTTCATCTTTGATAGTAAAAAATTAGAAGCTTTCTAGGTTTCCATCACTGGAGGAGTGGGTAGGTAAAATGTGGTGAAAGCACATTAGAAGTACCGTATACATTGCAAATGGCTGGACTAAAAACATAGCTCTAAATGGAAAAAGCAAAATCCAAAATAGCAAATCCCATTTACGCCATTCTGTAGGAGGGATTTTAAAAATGAGTTGGCAAGCATCACTAGTTTCAAATACACATGAGTTGTAGAAATAAGGTCATATAGTATGGCTTCATGTCATTATTAGTCTTCTCAAAAATATTTCTCTGTCTTCTACACATTCTAATTCAGAACCCATCAGTGTCTGGCACATATTAGGGTCTTAGCAAGCTTTTTGAAAAAAAATTAATGAGGGAATGATGAAGGCCTGCTGTAACTATAGAAATATGTTCTATTTTGATTTGAGGGAGCCAGAAATCCCAAATTATACTTAACTGACTTGTTAATATGTTGGACAAAGACACATTAAAGTTTTTTAAACAAGATCAACACAGATGATGCTACTAAAGCAATATAAAGGGAACTACTTATAATTTCATCTTTTAAGAGAAACAAAGCAAATAGTTTTAAGTTTATAATATTATTATATAGTTCAATCTGAAAAAGAAAACTCAAAACATACCGTAAGTCTTTATTTTATTGAGACAGGAGAAGCTGTTGGTTTTAATTCTTCTGTCCTCTTACATTTTTATTATTTTTCTTTCAACCAAATTCCATCTGCAAGATCAAGTACACTTAAGTTATTACTCAAAACATGCTGTAAAAGGCTCACTCAAGGAGAAATAAAACAAAGATTTTTTGCAGGCATATGTAAATTCTAGAATGAATTCATTACAGTTTTTTTCTTTATATCACATGTGCAGTTTTCCCATATCAAAACTGAATTACCACACCTATTCTATATATGCTCATGTAGAATTCACCTTTAAAGAATGCGTTTTCTGAAATTTTGTAACTAAACAGCCTTATCATACAAATTCTTTAGTTTTGTTATTTCTTCAACAAAGTCTCCCAAGGACAGAAAAAGATTTATTCCCAAAGTTGCTATTATTTGTTCTTTTCCCGCAAAGCACTAAAAATAAAATTCAAGAAATAGGCTAAGGTTCAAGAGAGTGAAACTATAGTGTTTAAATTGTATTGTAGCATCTTCTTTTTTGGTTTACTAGCTTTAATCAAGTATGATTGACAAATTTAGATATTTGAACATGAATGTGATATTTTGATATATGTATTCATTACAATTACCACAAACTAACATTATCACCTCAGTTACCATTTTTTGTGGGTGGTGAGAACACTTGAAATCTACCTTCTCAAGTTTCAAGTATGCATACTAATTATTTTTTTTCATATATTTTATTGATTTTTTTACAGAGAGGAAGAGAGAGGGATAGAGTTAGAAATGTTGAGAGAGAAACATCTCATCAGCTGCCCCTGCACTCCCCCTACTGGGGATGTGCCCACAACCAAGGTACACGCCCTTGACTGGAATGGAACCTGGGACCTTTCAGTCCGCAGACCCACGCTCTATCCACTGAGCCAAATCTGTTTTGGCCATACTAATTATTATTATTTTTTAAAAATATATATTTTATTGACTTTTCACACAGAGGAAGAGAGAGGGACAGAGAGTTAGAAACATCGATGAGAGAGAATCATCGATCAGCTGCCTCTTGCACACCCCCTACTGGGGATGTGCCCACAACCAAGGTACCGTATTTTTCGGACCATAAGACGCTCCGGACCATAAGACGCACCAGTTTTTAGAGAAGGGAAATGAAGAAAAAAAGATTCTGAAACAAATAGTGTCCTAAAATATTTTATGTGCATTAAAACCCAACATCACAGTCAAACACATGTAATCAACCCTGTAAAGTAAACAGCAGCATTTAGAACCATTTTAGAGCCGGGCAAGCACACAGAGACCACACAGGGCCGGGCAAGTAAAAAAACTTTTTTTAAAAAGTATATGTGTAGGCTATATTTGGACCATAAGACGCAGGGACTTTTTCCCCCCACTCTGGGGGAAAAAAAGTGCATCTTATGGTCCGAAAAATACGGTACATGCCCTTAACCAGAATCGAACCCGGGACCTTTCAGTCCGCAGGCCGACGCACTGAGCCAAACCGGTCCTGGCCCATACTAATTATTAACTATAGTTACCATGCCGTACATTAAATCTCCAGAACTTACTCATCATGGATCTCTACTTTCTCTCCACCTTCCAGCTACTGGTAACTTCCATTATACTGTTAAGAATTTGACTTTTTTTAGATTCCACATGCAGTATTTGTCTTTTTGTGTCTGCATTATTTCACTTAGCAGAATGTACTCCCAACTGATCCACATTGTTGCAAACTGCAGGATTTCCTTCTTTTTAAAAGACTGCATGTTCCATTCTGTGTATCTCACATCTTTATGCATTCATCCATTGATACTTAGGCTGTTCCCACATATTAGCTACTGTGAATTACGCTGCAATAAATGTGGGAGTGCAAATATATCTTTGAGATAGTGACTTTATTTCCTTTGAACATATACCCACAAGTGAGATGGCTGGATCACTTGGTTGTTCTATACCGTTTTCTGTAACGGCTGTATCAATTTACATTCCCACCCACAGGTATAAGGTTTCCTTTTCCCCCACATCTTTGCCAACATATTTTCTTTTTCTTTTTTTTTTTTTTAAAATATATTTTATTGATTTTACACAGAAAGAAATTGAGAGGGACAGAGAGTTAGAAACGTCGATGAGATAGAAACATGGACTAGCTGCCTCTTGCACACCCCCTACTGAGGATGTGCCCGCAACCAAGGTACATGCCCTTGACAGGAATCGAACCTGGGACCTTTCAGTCCGCAGGCCGACGCTCTATCCACTGAGCCAAACCGGTCCCGGCTTCTTTTGACTTTTTAATAACAGCAATCCTAACAGGTGCCAGGTGTTATCCTATTGTAATTTTGATTTGCATTTGCCTGATAGTGATGTTGAACACCTTTAGGCTGACCTCTGTTGGCCATTAATACGTCTTCTTAATGAAAAATGTGTATTCAGACTTTTGCTCCCATTTTTAATTTTTTAAATTAAAAAATATTTTTTATTGATTTTAATAGAGAGGAAGGGAGAGAGATGGAGAGTTAGAAACATTGATGAGAGAGTAACATCCATCAGTTGTATCCTGCACACTCCCCACTGGGGATGTGCCTGCACTCAAGGTACATGCCCTTGATCTTCGAGAATCAAACCTTCGACCCTTGAGTCTGCAGGTCGATGCTCTATCCACTGAGCCAAACCAGCTAGGGCAATTTTTTTGTTTTGTTTTATATTAGGTTGTATGAGTTTCTTATATATTTTGGATAATAACCCCCTTTGAAATAAATGATTTGCAAATATTTTGTCCCACTGCAGGTTACCTGTTCATTTTGCAGGATATTATCTTTTAAAAAGTTTCCAGATTATAATGTTCAAAAAGTACTGAAAATGTTATTCATCCAAATAAATAAATAAATAAATAAATAAATAAATAAAATTAAAATATAGTTAGGCTGACCTCTGGTGGCCAGATGCCTTATCCTTTGGTAACTGACAAAACTGTATGAAGTGCCCTGGCTAGTTTTGCTAAGTGCACACCTGCAGACTGAATGGTCCCCAAGGACGTTGGTTGCAGGCTCTATCCCAGCTCTGGTTGGGAGACAAACAATTGATGTGTCTCTCTCACACTGATGTTTCTCTCTGTCTCACCTCCTCCCTCCCACTCTCTTTAAAAATCAATGGAAAAATATCCTCGGGTGAGAATTAACAACAAAGAAAATCATTTCTCATTTGTGGCAAGGTAGCCAACTAAAATACAGTAAAGGAAATAATATTGTTAGAAACTTCAAAAACAAAGCTACGAAGGTAGCAGGCATCCAAAGCATGAGGAGAGCTGAGCAAGTAAAGGCCATAAAAGAAAATGCCTCCAAATATTAGTTTGTCCTAGTTAGCTTACCAGTTGATTGAGTTTACATAAAAAAAACAAATGGTATATGTAGAAGTTCTCAAAGTAAGAATAGGTCTGTACTATCCCTTTCTGTATTCACTCTCTTTAGGTGTCTATTGAGCATCTGAAATGTGGTTAGTAAAATAATGCCCAATTTCAAAGACTTAGCAGAAAAAATATAAATTATCTCATTAATTATGTTTACATGTTGAAATGTTGTAGATATATTTGATTAAAAAGTAGATGCCCTTCCTAGGCTACTTCCACCACAACTTTCTGGTCAGTGTACATTTAAGCTATAAATAGTCTATAAATGTTATCAGTATCTTTCATGCATTCTTAGGCCTCTAAGTAACTTATTAGGTAAAAATGCTTTTTCAGAAATTAGACATCTTGATCATTTTGAAATTATGGGCAACCCAAATGCTTTCACATGAATTACTTTGAATACCTAAATGTTTAAGGAATTAGGAATATGAAGAGAATGGATGAATCAATTATGGCATATTTATATAACTATAGCAATACTATAGCAACCTGTGCCTCAGTTTCCTCATCTTAAAAGAAGGTAAGTTACTTCACAAAGGTTGTCTATAAAGATTAAATGAAGTAAAGTGTTCACACCAACCAGTCAGTGTCTGGCACCTAAGTGTCCACAGATATGTTATTATGAAAACATCAATATGAGTAAACCTTAAAAAAACAGTACTGATTAAAAAAGGGAAATTGTATATTTGAATATTCATATTAGAACATGAGAACAATCGAGTATACTTATTCAGAGATGTATTTATAAATTATTAATATATAAAAGTTAACAGTGAATTCAAAAAATTCGTTACTACTGGCTCTAACAATAAAGTGCTCAAACCAGTGTCTGGCACATAAAGGTCCACAAATGTAAGTTATTATTATAAAAATATCAACATGAATAAACCTCAAGAACAATACCGATCGAAAAAAAGGAAATTAAGAACATGACTTTTCATATTAGAACACAAAACAATCGAGCATATTCAGAGATGTATTATCTATTATTATTACTACTACATAAAAATTAAGTGAATTCAGAAAATCCGTTATGCTAGGGAGGGAAGGTGATTCAATAGGAGAAAAGATGTAAGGGCAGCTCTGTAATCCACTTCTTTCTTTGTGTGTGTGTGTTTTTTTTTCTCATTGATTTCAGAGAGGGAGGGAGAGGAGAATCACTGAGTGGCTGTTTCCTTCACGCCCCCCAAAGTGGATTGAGCCTCTAACCCGGGCATGTGCCCTGACCCAAATCGAACCCTGTTCACCTGGTTCATCGGCCGAGGCCGGGCTGTAACCTATTTCTTTAGATGGCTGTGAGCACTGAGATGCTCACTCTGGTCTGATACAATTAATTCCACTAAAAAAAGTTTAAAGGCTCAGTTCCCCCTGAAGGCAGCACTCCTTTATAAACAAACAAACAAACAAACAAACAAACAAACAAACATTTCTTTAGCTTAACCACCCTGTGAACGCTGGTGCCATTCTGTCCCGTTTAGTACCCGGTCGGTGCCCACCTTTGTGAACCAGGCCTCGAAAGGAGGCCCCCGTAGAGCAGCTGCATCTACACTGAATGGCCGCCTGGCTCCCCCTCTGCAGACCTCCCACCAGCCGAGGGCCCAGGCTGGGAAAGGCCGCGGCCGCCTCCATCTGCAGATCCCGTCTCCCTTCGCGGCAGCAGCCGGCCGCGGCCCTGCCCTCAGCTCTTTCCCTTCTCCACGGGCTCCAAACGAACCCCCCTCCCAGCTCCCTGCTCCCCTTCCGCGGGATCCCCCCGGCAGACTGCCCTTCTCACCCAAGGAGCATTTCTTTCCGCCTCACGCCCCGCCGCACGCTCTGGCGAAGGCCAGCGCGGCCACCCGACTCGCCCTGTCCATCGGGCACTACTTCCGGGCGAGCCTTCGCCCCGCCTCTTCTTAGAAACGTCACTTCCTACCCGACAACGGCTGCTTAAACCGCTACGTTGGTGGGTGGTCTTCCCGCCGCCGCCTCGGCAGTCTCGCGATATTTGCCTCTCCCGGGGGAGTAATTTAAATGCTGGGGCGGTAATCACGCCCTGCGAGCTCCGAGGCCCGTTCTCACCCCTCCCCATGGTTAAATGGAACCAAAATCACCAAATAGCAAGTTAATTACCAGGACCTGGCTCTCCCCATAAATGTACATACTGTTTGTTTTGAATGGAGCCGTGAGAAGACTAGGACAATGAATTTCGGAGAAATAAAGTATTCTGGGGTCCAAGAAAAATAATTACTACTAGTTCAGAAAGGCTAAATATGATGAAGTATTAAAGTATTAAAGCCACTGGTGATCTTGAGTTCATGAAGCATACTTTTAGGAAAGTGGTACCCAGGCATATTGAGAATGAAAGGATGCTGGGGGAAAAATCCTTTCATTGTCAAAATACACCTTTTTCCCCCCAGGAGAAATTAATATCTCAGGAGAGAAATTCATGTCAATTCCCTTTTGATGGTTTGCTAATTCAGTTTTCTAAATGACTTTAGTTTGTCTGTGTTACGGCTAATGCATTCAGCATTCTTAGAGTAATGTTGGCTGATCTGGGGGTGGAAATGGGGACATCAGAACAGGGTGTAAAAGGACAACTTCCCAGTAACATTCTTTCTGGATCAGGCGCCATGACATTAAAGACTTGGGAGTTTGAGTTTAGGCCCTCAGCTGTTCGGCCACAGCATTTCCGTGAGTCAAAAAGTATTTAATGACGCCAACACAGAGCAGACTTCTCACTTGGCTCTCAGCACACGCCAAAGGGCAGGTTGCCTGTGTCTCTGTCCCACCAGAGTCAGCGGTAACTTCCCTGAGCCTTTCGTCTCCCTAATTTCTTGGGGTCATCGTTTTATTCACTGGTTTCCAGAAAGCCAGTGATGTGTACAGTGATGTGTGACACCAGCTTATATTCTGCCTCGGTGACCTCACGATAACCTCAGAGTCCTGGCCCAATCACAATGACTACCTTCCAGCCCTCACACCTGCATGGGGGCTCCATGCTCTTTGAACACCACCTGCTGGGAACCAAGATCAACAGTAATTAATATAAATGTGAGAAGTCCACCAGAAGGCTGAGTTTGGACTCTGGTATTCACAGGGTGAATTTGCATCTTATTACCTACTGCTGACTCAGTGGCCTAAAGCAAACTCCCCCCTAACCTGATAATCTTACTGTTTACTAAACATTACCACTGATAAGTCCCTTTGCATTCCTAAAAAACAATTGTGTATTCTAGTAAATAAAAGCAGTAGGAAATGGAGACTCTGGTGGTACTTAACTACTACAGTTAAGCTTTTCCCTGGCTTCCCCCCATCACTTCAAAATTAACTTTTCTAGTCTAGTGTGTCAATTTTCATGTCAGCTCTTTCTCCAAACCTTTGAACCCTAGAGCCACGCTGGCTGTGGCTTTTCACACCGCCCACCTGGGGCTCACCTGTACTGTGGAGGCTTCTTCCTGCTTCATCAGTAACTGCACCAGCTCTGGCTCCCACAACCCAGAAATGGCCTCCACCAGCGAGCTGCCGTCATCAGCTTCTCCAACAAGGTCTTCTTTGCAAAGCTTTGCTTCCACCGCTCCATTCCTGTTTCAAAGGGGATGGGAGTGTCACCTGTTGGGAGTCCTGTGAGTCTTGCAGCAAGAGGAGGGACAATCGGAGTTTGAATGGTGGGAGCCTTTGCTGCCTTATTCAACAAACTCTCCCCAAAGGACTGAGTCTGCTGGGAGGAGTAAGACCTTGTCTCCCCATTTGCTGGGGATCGGCAAGGTCAGGCTCCCGGCATTCAGTCAGCTCCTCAGGCTCCAAGATGGCTCTGTCCCCTCTCAGGGGAGGGAGCTTCCTGCATTTGCTGAGATCCTGTTTCCCAACTGTTCCCAGAGGTTGCATGAGGGAGTGGACACTGCAGCCCATGGCTACCATCCTGCCTCCACCATGTCCTGCTCCACCACCCCCTTCCACCTCTCTTCAGTCAGGTCACCCCACCTTCCTGAGCCGCTGCCCTCCTCTGTGAACAGAAAAGGAGAGGCAGAGGGGAGGATGAGTCCTGCATCTTTTCTGTGTGACCTTGGAAATTCGAATTTATCTCTTCTAGCCTCAATTTTTCATTTCAAAATGTATCAACTGCAACTCTCTGTTGCCAAAAAAAAGGGAAAAAATAAATCTCTAAAACTGGTTTGGCTCAATGGATACAGGGTTGGTCTGCGGACGTAAAGGTCCAGGGTTCAATTCCAGTCAAGCGCATGTACCTTGGTTGCAGGCACATTCCCAGTAGGAGATGTGCAGGAAGGAGGCAGCTGATTGAAGTTTCTCTCTCATCGATGTTTCTAGCTCTTGATCTCTCCCCTTTCCTCTCTGTAAGAAATAAAAAAAAATTTTTTTAAAGAAGAAAAAACAAAAAACAAAACTATTGGTGTCCTATTGCTGCTGTAACAAATGACCATAAACTGGGTGGCTCAACACAACACAGCTCTTGTCCTATGGTTCTGGAGGTCCGCAGTCCTCCCATCAGGTGCTGATGGGGCTGTTTTCCTGAGTGTTAACTCTGAGGGCATCTAGTCAGTGTCTCTCTTTCTCTTGTTCTCTTTCCTCCTGCCTCCTAACACCACGTTCCCACTGACCGGTCCAGCTCTGAGCAGGGGCCTCTAGTCCAGTCAGCTGTGGACCAGGGCGGGTTCACAGGGTCCAGAATGGCTGCTGTGCCAGGCCATCGCTGCCATCCCAGGCAGGGTGGAGGGGAGACTGGTACACCCCACCAGGGGGCCGGTGCCAGCTCGGAGGAGGAGCTGGGCAGATGGCACAGGTGTCCCCTGCTGTGCCCAGTGTGATGCTTGTTCCTCCCACTTTCCCCACAGGCCCCCGAGGAGCTCTTGGAAAAGGAGTCCGGCCAGGGCCTCCAGACCCAGCAGCAGGCCCTCCGGCTGGAACGCCCAGCCTTGGAGGAGAAGGTCCCACAAGAGGCCCAGGGGGAGCAGGCGAGGATGCAGGCTCCGCTGCTAGGTACACACCAGCCACACCCCTACGGGGTCCGCATGGGGAGGCGGGTTTGCGGGGGAGGATGAGGGAGGGGACCAGGGCAACTCTCCTGGTTCTGCCAGCAGCTTTGGTTTCCCCGAAAATAAGACAGTGTCTTATATTAATTTTTGCTCCCAAAGATGCGCTAGGTCTTATTTTCAGGGGATGTCTTATTTTTCCGTGAAGAATACGGTACACATTTACTGTGAAATGAAAATAAAGGAAATTTATTACCTGTATACGGTATGGTAGTACGGTAGTTGTCAACACAAACCAGACAAACTGTGAATCCTACAGTATCAAGAATTTACTCATTTATTCAATGACAATCATGTCATCATCCTCTGGAACATCATCATAACCATCCAATTCCTGAATCTCCTGGTGAATTTCTTGTGACTCCATTTCTTTCAGAATCAGTGGACCAAATCTTTCATGTTTAGCAATAGCACTGTCTTTAAATGAGTACTTCTTGTCAAGGTATCCTGCTCGCAGTGCATTTGCAATGCAACTGTCAGTGATTTTCTCCCATGAATTCTTCACCCAAGTCACAACTTCTTGCAGTTTAGGTTTCACAAAGTTTCCACACTGATTTCTCTCCATTCTATTTTCAACGTAGTCATTAATTTCCATGTGCAAATTGTCTTTGAATGGCTTGTTTATTGCAATATCCAGAGTGTGGAGATAGGCTGTCATTCCTGCAGGAATCATTATCTGATCTATTTTTCTTTCTTGAAGAAATGTCTTCATGTCTTTAGCGCGGTGAGTGCTGGCTGCATCCCAGACTAGCAGACCTCTTTGGCTCCCTCGCATAACAAGCGGCAGCATTAAATCGACCCACTTCCTTATAACTGCTTGTGTGGCCCAGGCTTTTTCAGTTTCAAGAATAAAAACACCCAAAATACGTTCAATCTTTTCCTTCTTGCCCTTAGAAATGATTAAAGGTGGGATTTTAGTGCCATCCAGACGAATTGCCAAAATACAGGAAACACGTGCACTTTCGTAAGCAGTGGAGGGAATGTAGGCTAAGGAAGCACCCCGCTGTTCAATTGTTGTTTGAGATGATTGGCCCATAAACACTGCAGTTTCATCCATAGCTATCATGTTGGAAAGATTGTATTTAGAGAAGTCAGCATCATCAATAAAGGACTTGAATGCAAGTGCTCGCTTAATAACTTGAGTATCTTCCAACCTAAACAATGTTGTAGATCTTCTTAAAGACAGCTCACTTCGCTGAAGGAAATTGTCCAGCCAGTGTTGTGATGCTTTGAAGTCTTCAGGGGCTATGTCAAACTGTGGTGCCATTGCAAGGGCAAATTCTTGAATCTGAGCCCTATTCACAACTGAAGCCTTTGCTCTCCTGTCAACAACCCATTCACAGATCAGGTCTTCCAGCTCGGAAAATAATGGTTGCCGACCTGATCCACACTTGCGCTTTTTAGCATTTCCCTTGTCCACTTGTTCAATGAGGTTACCATACTCTGCTCGCCATTTTCGGACCAATCGCATACTCAACATCTTCTCTTTGCAGAAAACAGTAAGATTTTGGCCCCAAGAGTCTTCCACGATTCCTTTCTTGTACTCCACAGAGTAGCTTTTTCTTTTTGTGCTCATTTCTAGGGGTAAAAAAAAGGAATTGGGGTATCAAGGTGGGGAGAGGGGGATCACTTAAAATGACATAGGGGGGATCAAAGGGGGAAATCAAAATGGCACAGGAGAATCAGAGGGGGGATTACCATTTTAGTAACCCCTTTTGATCCTCCTGTGTCATTTTGATTGCCCCCTCTGATCCTCCTGTGTCATTTTAAGTGATCCCCCTCCCCCCACCCCTGTGCCACTGAACACCTTCATCAGACATCCCCCCTATCCCTTTATCAGACATTTACCCCCTGGGGCCTGCCTGGGGACTGTCACTGGGCTTGCTGGGGCCTGGATCTGGGCTGGAGCAGGGTCTGCCACTGACTGAGAACCTTCAGTCCTCATGAGGGCGGCCGCGAGCATCAGGTAGTGTCACCAGAGACAGACCAGCCTTCACCACCTTTGCCGCGTCCCGTCCACTCTAATCCTCCTGTTCTTCTACAGGCATCTGCGAAAGTCTCCTCCTCTCTCCCGCCCCACGCTCACCCCTCACTCCAACCTCCGCTCCGCCTCCACACAGCAGTGACGTCAGGACTCCACGTAATGTCACTGGTTGCTAGATGCCAGTCGGGGCGGCCCTAGCTACCAGTTTACAGTAAATTAATTTTCATTCTGAGACAGAGCCTGGGGGGGGGGGGTGTTTATTTTCGGGGGATGCCTTATATCAATATTTCACTCAGAAGGAAACCTGTAAGTAGGTCTTATTTTCGGAGGATGTTTTATTTTCGGGGAAACATGGTAGTTGTGCGACCTGGGGACCTGGGGTGGGTCACCCTCAGCCGCATCTTCCTTTTTCATAAAATGGAGTTACAATTGCCCTGCCTCATAGGGGTGTAATGTGGATTTGGGGAGATATTGCATAGAGAACACCTAATACAGCATGAGCTCAGTGAAGATCATTCTCATTGTTACTGAATATATCTGCACTTTCTGGGATTGCCTCAATCTCTCATTCCGTTCTGGAGATTTCTGCAAACCTGGGGGGCTGAGGCCTTCCCTGTCTGAGACACACCTGACCTGCAGGAGAGGTCAGTGGGCGAGGGGTGTGAAGGTGAGTAATACACTGGGATGGGGACCGAGATATGCTGGATCGGTGGGTGGATGGATGGATGAGTAGATCTATGGATGGATGGGTGGGCGATAAATGGGACAGAGGATGGACAGGTGGACAGAGAGATGGATAACTGGGTTTGTAGAGGAATGGATGGATGGGAGGGGTGATATATGGACAGACGGATGGACAGGTGGACAGAGAGATGGATAACTGGATTTGTAGAGGGATGGATGGATGGATGGATGGATGGGAAGATGGGTGAATGAATAAGTGGATGGTTGGGTGAGTGGTGGGAGAAGAGGGGAAGGTAATGAATACACTACAGTTCATGCTTTGCTAAAGGGTTTTATTGCCATTTTGTGGTAAAGAATTTTAAAAAATGGGGCAGTGTCTGGATTTTTTTTAAAGAATGCTATAGAAGTTGCTTTATTAAAATTCAATTGAGGAGAAAACATGACCAGGTCAGTTTTTCAGCATAATGTCATCAGAATATATTAAGCTCTTATATGTGTTTAATATACTATACCTTTTGAGACACTTAGTAGGCATTTGGGAAACTTTTCACAACTAATACACTTTCACAATATCACTGATTTTCACTCTAAACATAATTTGTTTTCCAAATATATGCTGAGCACCTGCTATGTACTGAGGTCCATGCTGGTGCTAACCTTATAGCTTATGGAATTATTGGGACAATATTTCAAAAGTCACTTGCAATAACTAAAATATAGTCTTAAAAGCCCATAACAGAAAAACATTAAATTTGCTAGTCCTAAAATTATGTTCTTTTTAACAAAATAAATAAGTCACTGAATAGCGTGCACTCTATCCAAAAATAGTCATTTTGAAAGGATTGCTTCCTCTGACTTTCAATCACGGCAGCGCACACCTAGAACCCAGCACCATCCTCAGGGGAGAAATGTGAGTTTCTGGCTGTTCCTCTCCTGAGTTCAGGAGGGCATGTCTGTTTCTCTGGGTGAGTCTGGTTTTACTAGATTCTGTTTAGATAATGTGCCATCTCTTGCCCCCACATTCCACCCCAGGGGAAGGGTCATGTTCTGTCCCCTTAAGAGTTGGCATAAATCTCAACATTTCAGACTGGGAGACCTGTAACCCCAGAAGAGGTGCTTGTCATTGATAATTTCCTGTTCTCCTCTTGGTCTATGGCAGTGGTCGGCAAACTCATCAGTCAACAGAGCCAAATATCAACAGTACAACGATTGAAATTTCTTTTGAGAGCCAAATTTTTAAAACTACATAGGTAGAAACATTGTTTTTAACTTAACTAGAGACCCGGTGCACAAAATTCATGTACAGGGTCGTGTGTCCCTCAGCCAGCCCCTCAACTCTCCAATCTGGGACCCCTCGAGGGATGTCTGACTGCCCAGTTAGGCCTGATCCTTGTAGAATCAGGCCTAAACGGGCAATTGGACATCCCTCTGACAATTCAGGACTGCTGGTTCCCAACTAATCACCTCCCTGACTTCCTGATTGCCCCTAAACACTTCTGTCTGCCACCCTGATAACCCTATAACTACTCCACTGCCAGCCTTATTAATGCCTAACTGCTTCTCTGCCACTTACTGCCTTCCACTGCAGGCCTGGTCATCCCTAACTGTCCTCCCCTGCAGGCCTGATTGCCCTCAACTGCCCTCCCCTGCTGGCCATCTTTTGGCAGCCATCTTTTGTCCACATGGGGCAGTCATCTTGAGTGTTAGAGTGATGGTCAATTTGCATATTACTCTTTTATTATATAGAATTAGGGTACTCCTAAGCTGGCCTTTGCTAAAAACCTCCTCAATCTGAGTGAGGTACGTTCACTGAGGTAGACCCCTTCCAACTCTCCCATCCACACTCGTCTTGTATACTTGTTTTGTCTATCTCCTGTTGTTCATCCTCTCTATATGTCCAAATCATCTCAATATAACTTTCTCAATTCTTGACACTACATCATCTTTCACTCCACAACGTTCTCTAAAATTAACTTAATAAACTTAAAGTTTTGTCTTAGTTAATTAAACTATAGGTACGTTAAATAAAATTTGGTATCATACTTAATAATGATATTATTTATTGATAAAATTAAATTCTTTACAATTTACAATATACATAAAATTAAATCATGACAATGACTGACGAACACTAATGTGAACAATGGCCTTGCATCTCCTTGGAAAGTTTGGGTAAGTCAGGTTTGTATGTTGTTGTTTTTAATTTTACTCGCGATTCCAGGTTCTCATCAATAAGACGACTTCTCAATTTACTCTTGATAAGGTTCATGCTTGAAAATGATTGTTCGCATAAATATGTAGACCCAAATAAGGACAAAACAGCAAATGCTAGTTTTTTCAGTTGATTGTATGAGTCAGGAATACTATTCCAGGTGTTAAAAATCAACATATCTTCCTTCTCCAGGTGTTTCAAAGCAGACCACTTATGCTGTGAACTGAGTTCACATTTGTTTTTCTCTAATATTTCTATATCAGCACAAAGACGTTCAAATTTCGAGCTCCACAATTCTTTGTTTTTTAAATCTAGCAGTTGCATTTCAAAGTTGCCAATGTCAATATTAAAAGGAGAAAAATTTAATTCTGTTACAGTAGCATTAAGAGGTTTTTTAACAAAGGCTAAGGTTGCTTTGCTGTTTCTTAATTCCTTAAACCTATTGAGAAAAGCTTCCCTCATATTTAATAGTGTTGTTTTGAAATAGCAAATGTCAATATCAGAATTGTTTTCTTGGCGATGTTTCAACAGGCTTGGAAAGTGAATCAAAGTTTCTCTTTCAAAATCTTGAGCAAAAAGAGATAATTTATTTTCAAATGAAATGACTTCTTCTAACATTGAAAAAACTGTGTTTCCTTTCCCCCGTAGTTTATGATTAAGCTGATTTAGATGAGATGTAACGTCTACCATGAAATAAAATTTTTGGATCCATTGATCGTTCATTAGTTCTGGATAGTGAACACCCTTCTCAAGGAGAAATGCTTTAATTTCTGTTAATAAGGAAGCAAAATGTTTCAAAACGTTTCCTCTTGATATCCAACGTACCTTGTTATGCAGCAGAAGATCTGGGTATTCACTCTCCATTTCAACTAAAAATTCTTTAAATTGGCAATGATTAGGAGCTTTAGCTATAATGGAATTGATCATGTTAATCACCAATTCCATAACTTTGCAAATTTCTTCTGGAAATGTCTGCGCACAAAGCGCTTCTTGATGAATGATGCAATGGTAAGTAAGTATCTCGTGATTAATTTTTTCTTTCAAAATATCAACAAACCCGTTTCTTACATCGGTCATACTTTTTGCCCCGTCTGTTGAAATTGAGACAATTTTATCAAGTGGAATATGATGTCTTTCAATGCACTCAATTACAGAATTTGCTATATCCTCTCCACTTGTTTGACCTTTGAGTGGCAATAATCCTAAAAGTTCTTCTTTAGGACCTGTAGATGAAACAAATCGTACAAAAAGTGAAACTTGTGCTGTATTATTTATGTCACAAGACTCATCAACTGCAATTGATAAAGATGAAACCAATTTAAGATCTTCAACTTGCTGGTCAGTTATATTCGAAGACATTTTGACTGTTCTATCTTTCACTGTTTTAGCAGACAATGGTAACTCTTTAATTTTTTTTAGAATATCTCCTTTGTTCTTAAAATCTCGAAATAGCTTTTCGGATACATTTATAAAACAACTTTTTATGTATTCGCCGTCTGTATATGGTTTTCCTCTCTTAGCAATCTCTTGACTAACCACAAAACTTGCAATATTAACATTGTTGGAAGACTGCATCCCGTAATTAAACACAGAACTTGATTTTTCTTGACTCTTCTGAAGTTCCTCAACTGCCTTCTTCCTTGCATCACCGACAGGATATTTAGTACTAAATGACACGTGTTTGGTTGTAAAGTGTCTCTCCAAATTCGATTTCTTGTTATGTGCCAATTTTTCCTGACAAATAAGACAGGTCGGAAGGCCATTTAAGTTTTGAATAAAGGCGAAAGTCTCGGTCCATTCAACTTTAAATTCACGGTTTTCGTCTTCTGTTTTTCTTTGCTTCTTCTTTGTAGCCATGTCAAACATGGCACCTAAAAAAAAGTTTCATTTTATAATAATAAAGCCACCAACAAAAATAATTACAATTCTTAAATTGATGACAAAAATACCTGTAGTATTTGTAGCTGGTTGGAAAAATACAGGTAACTTTATGCTTCAAGTAGGTACTTTTGTCACTGTGTGCAATTTGCGGTCACGACCAGCACTAACCACTGCACAATGAGAATGCTGACTGACTGGCTCACTCAACTCGCTCGAACCTCCCCAGCGCTGTGTCTCCTGTCGCCGGACTGACACCCCCACTTCTTTTAAGGCCACTTCTTCAAAATAGACTCTCCCAGGCTGAAAACTGACTTCTGCGCATGGGCCAAGAAGTTTCAATCGCACTGTACGTGTGCGCCCTCACGTGGTATTTTGTGGAAGAGCCACACTCAAGGGGCCAAAGAGCCGCATGTGGCTCGCTAGTCGAGATTTGCCGACCACTGGTCTAGATATCAACAGGAATTAAACACTGACATTTTAATGTCAAGTAAGCATACTCATGCTACCCAAGAAATAGTCAGTAAATGCTATTCTAAGGATAGTTTTACAATATCACTTATTAAACATGGAAGAACATTTGAAGTCTTGAGAACAGAAACAAAATAAGGAAGACCAGAAGCATAAAAAATGTATACCAACATTACCTTTCTTTCGAAAGAGTGTATTTAGGTAATTTTCTGCTTGGTATTCAATCTTTTCAGTGTTGGACTGGCCCTGAGATGATAGCTCCTCTGTTGGTGTTGACTGTGAGGAATCAAGAGATGGTACACAATCCTAAAATTATATATATAAAAAAGAAACACCAACAATTAAAAAAATCACTTTCTAACTGTGGGATTCCATTAAAAATGGCAAAAAAAATTAACTCTAAATGCTCATTTGTTCTATCTTTTAAATATATCAAATTATCTAGAGAATATTAAATTTGAAACAGAGTCGGGAAAAATATTTAGCTCTGACAAAGGGCCAAATTAGCTTATTTCTTAGTAAAAGTATAATAAAAAAATAGAAGAGCAGATAAGATATATTGCTGAATAATTTCACTATATAACATGCTAGCAATGAGAATTTTTAACAAAGCAGTTATGGTTACCTACTAATCTAATCAAAATAGGTACAGGTTCTAGAGTTCTCATTTCCTCTCAGACCTCTCACAACAGAACATAAAGAATTAGGATCCCGCTATACAAGAAGATGCTGCCTGTCTAGTTTCTGCCCTGTTTACAGTAGACACTAATATTTAATAATTTACACAGGATAAAATTACGATATTCAAAAGACTTCAAGAGATAGAAAAAGTTAAAACTTTTTTAGTAGTACCACATTATCCTCCAACTACTGATTCCTAAGAAATTAGCCAAAACCGGTTTGGGTCAGTGGATAGAGCATCAGCCTGTGGACTGAAAGGTCCCAGGTTCGATTCCTGTCAAGGGCATGTACCTTGGTTGCGGGCACATCCTCAGTTGGGGGTGTGCAGGCGGCAGTTGATCGATGATTCTCTCTCATCCATGTTTCTAATTCGCTATCCCTCTTCCTTCCTCTCTGTAAAAAAATCAATAAAATATATTAAAAAAAATAAAGAGAAAGAAAGAAAGAAAGGAAGAAAGGAAGAAAGAAAGAAAGAAATAAGCCTGTAGGATGGTCTTAGATCAAACCAGGACTCCAGGATCATCAGCTTTGTCTATGTAAATACAAAACAGATCAGAACTGATTTCATGAGTCAGGGAGCTATGAGAAAGAAGTGTGACATAAGCAAAAAAGATGAGTGGTTTAGGATTTTCACCTACTAGATAAGGTGAATGTTAGACTTCTAACAGACTTTAAAATTCTTCTAAGTAGGAAAATCAAGTATTTATATTCTATAAGACACAAATTCTAAAACAAATTATATTTAAAAATTGTGTTACAATTGTGCAAATAGTTGAGATAATTTCATAGCAGTAAAACTTACACTATCTGCTTCTCTTTGTAGGTTACAAAATGAACAATTTTCATCCATAGACCAGTCAGTCAGTTCTTCTGGTTCACAGTCTTTAAAAGAGGGAAAAATATTCATTAAATACACTAACTTTATTAAAACAAAAATACCACTCTCCAGAGCAATGGCTCATATAAAAATAAATAAATAAATAAATAAATAAATAAATAAATAACTACTAACAGTAAGGGGAAAACACCAAAATTAAATGGTGACATCTAGAAAGAAAGAAACAGAGAAAGCTGTAAGGAGAGTATTTTTGCACTATTATGGGACAAAGTAGCAAGAACAATGAGCTGGTTATAAATTAATTTTCTAAGTATAGGGTTCATCCAGTTTTCTGAAAGACTCAATTTATCATTGCCTATTACATTTTTTATTTTCACTATGATATAAATCAGAACAGAGAGATATGGGGGGAAAGGAATAAATTTTGCATATTATGAAAGACAACATAAAACGAAGAAATGAAGTAAAACACCAGAAAAGCCCACAGATTTGAGAACATGGAATGCTGCCTAAGAAAAAAGTAGAAATCGCCGAAACCGGTTTGGCTCAATGGATAGAGTGTCAGCTTGGGGACTGAAAGGTCCCGGGTTCGATTCCGGTCAAGGGCATGTACCTTGGTTGCAGGCATATCCCCAGTAGGGGGTGTGCAAGAGGCAGCTGATCGATGACTCTCTCTCATCGATGTTTCTAACTCTCTATCCCTCTCTCTTCCTCTCTGTACAAAATCAATAAAATATATTAAAAAAAAAAAAAGTAGAAATCCACAGCTAAAAAGTCAGACCAGATTTTATTACGTTGTTTAAAGGCTTTATTGCAAGAGTTAGAGAAAAACCAGGTAAACAAGTTATATCATTCAACATACAACATGACTTTTTTCAGAAGAATGTTCCGTATAATTCAACTACTAGAATATATAGTATTTGTGGAAAACAAACATTGTGTAATGAAAGATTTTCTGAAGATATAACATTGTCATCCCAACTATACTTGGTATAGACTATAGAGTGATTTTTGAAACTTACTCTGGTAACAGAACTACCCCCACTCCCGCCAATTTCTTTTCCCAAATAAATTCATATGTAGAGCCTCAAACCATAATCAATGTGAGGCAGTTGTACCATAGTAATTTACTCTCATACTTTTGAAATATATAAGGAAGTTGAATATGTTTCTGGTAAACTATCCAGAAAATACCCTTATCTGTTATTGAAGTAATTATGAGTAAAATTTAGTTATCAGCCCTTAGAATACTCTTGCATCAATGCAAACATACATTTGAAGATAATACATAGAAGATAATGTAATTTTTGGAATATAAAGTGTAGTGATAGCTTCCTTTGACTTTTGGCAGTGATCCAGAAATATTCCTGATATTTATCTGGACTTGGAAAAGGCAGCAAATAGGAACATAAGATCCAGTAAAGAATAAAGGAAAGATAACTATATGTGAAGTCTATGAAAATCTAAGATTTGAACTTACTAGCTCTAACTAGTCTAGCCATAAAGTTTTTTCTTTAATTTCTACACCTATAAAATAAGGATCCCACCATCACTTATTTGTGGATCAAATGAAAAAAGTAAAATACTTTATAAACTATAAATATGCAAAAGCTATGAACAAGGTAGAACTACCAGTCTATTAACTCCTATACTATCACACTTATATTTAATAAGGTTAGTTTGCAAAAGGCAGGTAATTTTAATTTAATATCTGATTAAGATATTAAACATGCTTTTGTAAACAACCAGACAAATCAAAAAGTTTATGCAATCTATACAATTAAAAATCCAGAAGTGTAGCTACATATATTTATAATTTTTTTCAACCTTTCACTCTGTCACTGGAACAGAATCACACATTCATTCACACTTTTGAATACAGGATCACAGGGTCTCTTACTAGGGGCCCAGAGCTGTCTGACCAATGGGATGTATATGGAGAAGTGACAGTATACCATTCCATAAAAATGCATGGAGAGTTCTCCCAGTTCTGAGCTTCCACCATCCAATGTGTGAAGAACTTGCTTCATATAATCATTACTGCTTTAGTCTGTGACCTGTAGTCATGAGGTAATATGATCCCATCCACAGCCTGGAGTTCAGTGAATCTGATCACACATAAGCAGGAAACAGATTTTGGAGCTGTTTGTTATGCAACTTTACTGTAGCAAAAACTTGACTCGTGCTAAGCAGAATATAATTTTGATAGTCAATGAAATCTAAACTGCTTTTTTTTTTTATTATAACTGCATTAATAGGGAATATGAAAACAATCAGCATTGTGATTTTTAAAAAATAGGTGGTAGACTAGGGAAGGGGTATATCTGAAAAAACATTGTAAGGTTTCCGTAATAAATATGTTGATTCAAAGGATGACTTTGGATTAATTAAAACCATTACCAGTTGTAAAATAAAATCGGGCATGCTGAGATTATCATCATTTACTTCAGAAATTCTTCAAAGAAATGTTAATTAAAATAAATGTCTACATAGTTAAATAAAGAGCAAGGAATAATCAACGATTACATAAATGCCAGTAAATTTTGCTGGGTTAAAAAAATCTATGACTTTACCAATACTTAAAAATTGCTCTTTCTCCAGCAACTTTTAAAAAATATATATATTTTATTGATTTTTTTAAAGAAAGGAAGAGAGAAGGACAGAGGGTTAGAAACATCAATGAGAGAGAATCATCGATCAGCTGCATCCTGCATAGCCCCCCTGGGGATGTGCCTGCAACCAAGGTACATGCCCTTGACTGGAATTGAACCTGGGACCCTTCAGTCTGCAGGCCAACGCTCTATCCACTGAGCCAAACCGGTCTCGGCTCTCCAGCAACTTTTGATTTTTTAGTCCAAATAAATGATGGTAGGATTTATGTGTGTGTGTGTGTGTGTGTGTGTGTGTGTGTGTGTGTGTAAACAGGTTTTGAAAAATCAAGTGTAGAACCAATTTCTTCCTCTGTACAGGTTGTCTTTTTATGTCATAAAAATTAAATAAGAACTAAATAAAAACAAAACATAAGGCCAAAAGGCACATGAAAACATGCTCAAAGTCACTAATTGTCCGAGAGATGCAAATCAAAACAACAATGAGGTACCATCTCACACCTGTCAGAATGGCCAACATCAACAAATCAACAAACGACAAGTGTTGGCGAGGTTGCGGAGAAAAAGGAACCCTCGTGCACTGCTGGTGGGAATGCAGACTGGTGCAACCACTGTGGAGAACAGTGTGGAGTTTCCTCAAAAAAACTGAAAATGGAACTCCCATTTGACCCAGTAATCCCACTTCTAGGAATATATCCCAAGAAACTAGAAACAACAATCAGAAAGGATATTTGCACCCCTATGTTCATAGCAGCACAATCTACAATAGCCAGAATATGGAAACAGCCTAGGTGCCCGTCAGCAGATGATTGGATCCAAAAACTATGGTACATCTACACAATGGAGTACTATGCTGCCATAAAAAAGAAGGAATTCTCATCATTTGCAGCAACCTGGATGGAATTGGAGAACATCATGCTGAGTGAAATAAGCCAATCAATGAAAGAGAAACACCACATGACCTCACTCATTTGTGGATAATAAAGAACATTATAAACTGATTAACCAAAAGATAGATATAGAGACAGTATATCAACAAGCAGACTGTCAAATTACAGCGGGGAGGGAAGGAAGATCTGGGGATGATAATAGATCAACCGAAGGACTTTTATACATGCATATAAGTACAACCAATGGACATAAAACTCTGGGGAGGGAGGGGATGTGTGGGATGGAGAGAGGGGGACAAAAAAAATCAATAAAATATATTAAAAAAAAAAAAAAAAGAATATCAGACTAAAGATTCCAGGGGAGTGATACGAATAAGATAAGCACTTTGTGAACCTTAATTTTAAAATGTTACACTTAACCCATAGTTTATGAGTGCCAAGAAGTTCTCAGAAGTCACAGAGAAGGTAGAGCAACACAACCCCTATTTTATTTCTGTCCCACTCTAAATGGACAATTTTCACACAAGAGAAAGATTTGAAATTATTTAAAGGTAGGACCTCTCTTGTACCTTCCCACTCAATTAAACTTTGGCTTTAAAAAGAAAAGAAAAGAAAAGAAAAAAAAAAGAACATAATCATTTTCTCTTTCAAATACACTTTGACAATGAATTAAATATCTTCTTTAAGTTGTCTCTCATTTTGAAAATTTTAATACGATTTTATAAGTTCAAAAGGATCAAATTGTGTACTTTACAGGTACAACCTTATTAATGTCATGTCCTAGCCTATTTGCTCAGTTGATATAGGATTGGCCTGTGGACTGAAGGGTCCCAGGTTGGATTCCAGTCAAGGGCACACATTGTGGGTACTATCCCCAGTAGGGACTGTGCAGGAGGCAGCCAATCAATGATTCTCTCTCATCACTGATGTTTCTACCTCTCCCTTCTCGGAAATCAACAAAAATATATTTTTTTAAAAAGGGCAATGTTATAATGAAAACAGAGTAAATGAGTGACCATCCTTTCCACTGTTGGCAAGTACTCTTACAGTCAGTTTTCCTCCAATCATTTAACCCCGTGGTCAGCAAACTGCGGCTCGAGAGCCACATGCGGCTCTTTGACCTTTTGAGTGTGGCTCTTCCACAAAATACCATGGCCTGGGCAAGTCTATTTTGAAGAAGTGGCATTAGAAGAAGTTTAAAAAATTTGGCTGTCAAAAGAAATTTTAAGCATTGTACTGTTGATATTTGGCTCTGTTGATTAATGAGTTTGCCGACCACTGATTTAACCTAATCTATTTTGGAAAGGTAACAGGCTTGGAAATTAGAAAACCTTAGTACTGAACCATGGGTTTTCCACATTCCAGATGTTGCTTTGGGCAAATTACTTTCTCTGAGCTTCGGTTTCCCTCTCTGTAAAATGATAAGTTGCAGCTTAAGGCTGTAGTAAAAATTAAATAAAAATATGCAAAACACCTAATAAGCCCTAATACCTTTATTTTATTTTAAATAATAATACTTATTTTGAATATTCTTTTTCTATTCAG